GGTTAAGGGAGAGGCAATGGGCAGAGTCATGGAAATTCCACACCAACAGAGAGAGAAAGGAACACTGGGATGTCTGTTGCTGATTAATTCCTCTGTTTGATGTGTGCCATAGAAAAGAATAAGAAAGGATTAAGGGAGAGGCAGTGAGTGGGGTCATGGAAATTCCACACCAACGGAGAGAGAAAGGAACACTGGGATGTCTGTTGCTGATTAATTCCTCTGTTTGCTGTGTGCCATAGAAAAGAATAAGAAAGGATTAAGGGAGAGGCAGTGAGTGGGGTCATGGAAATTCCACACCAATGGAGAGAGAAAGGAACACTGGGATGTCTGTTGCTGATTAATTCCTCTGTTTGCTGTGTGCCATAGAAAAGAATAAGAAAGGATTAAGGGAGAGGCAGTGAGTGGGGTCATGGAAATTCCACACCAATGGAGAGAGAAAGGAACACTGGGATGTCTGTTGCTGATTAATTCCTCTGTTTGCTGTGTGCCATAGAAAAGAATAAGAAAGGATTAAGGGAGAGGCAGTGAGTGGGGTAATGGAAATTCCACACCAATGGAGAGAGAAAGGAACACTGGGATGTCTTTGGTGGAGGAAACACAGAAAATCTAGGATGAAATTGTACTGGATCGATTTGTCAGTGTAGATGCACCCCTTGATGGGGTTCTGAGGACAACTGTACAGAATAGTTTTCCACCTGCTTTGCTCCAGATGTGGTGTAGTTGCGCCTACCTTCCAGCAGAGAGCAATAGAGATGCATTGTATAAGAGTTCATTCTTCCTATGTATCCCATCACATTGGAAAAAGTTCATTAAACTGCAAAAAAACCTTTTTCCGGGAGAGACATCCTGCAGCACACTGGCTCCGGTCCTTCCTGGAGGGTCGATCCCAGTTGGTGAAGCTGGGAGACGCCTGCTCGGACCCCTGGCCCTTGACCTGTGGGGTCCCGCAAGGCTCTATTCTGTCTCCCATGCTCTTTAACATCTACATGAAACCGCTGGGAGAGGTCATCCGGAGTTTTGGAGTTGGGTGCCACCTCTACGCAGATGACACACAGCTCTACAACTCATTTCCACCTAACTCCAAGGAAGCCCCTCGAGTGCTGGACGAGTGCCTGGCCGCTGTGGAAGTCTGGATGAGGAAGAACAAGCTGAAGATCAATCCTGACAAGACAGAGGTCCTCCTGGTCGATCGCAAACCTGACCGGGGTATAGAGTGGCAACCTGTGCTGGACGGGGTTACACTCCCCCTGAAGCCACAGGTCCGCAGTCTGGGAGTCCTCCTGGATTCATCGCTTACGCTTGAGGCTCAGGCGTCGGCGGTGTCTGGGAGGGCTTTTGCACAACTGAGACTTGTGCGCCAACTGCGACCGTACCTCGCGAAGGCTGATCTGGCCGGGGTGGTCCATGCCTTGGTCACCTCTAGGTTGGACTACTGCAATGCGCTCTACGTGGGGCTGCCCTTGAAGATGGCTCGGAAATTCCAACTGGCCCAACGAGCAGCAGCCAGGATGTTAACTGGGGCTCCTTACAGGGAGAGGTCAACCCTCCTGTTTAAGGAGCTCCACTGGCTGCCATTCATTCCACGATCCCAATTCAAGGTGAAGGTGCTTACCTACAAAGCCCTAAACAGTTTGGGACCCATCTACCTTCATGACTGCATTTCTGTATATGAACCCACACGATCACTTTGTTCATCTGGAGAGGCCCTGCTTGCGACCCCACCTGCTTCACAGGTGCAATTGGTGGGGACGAGGGACAGGGCCTTCTCTGTGGTGGCCCCCCGACTCTGGAACACCCTCCCCAAGGACATCAGACGGGCCCCAACACTGGCAGTCTTTAGAAGGAGCTTGAAAACGTGGATGTTCCAGTGTGCCTTCTCAGAATAAGGAATCCTCGCAATATGTCCTCAATGCACTTTACGAGAGATTTAGAATCGTCTGCACGTCTACCTATCCCAAAACACCTCTCCTGTCTCCCTGGAACTCCCCAGTTTTTAACTTTAAATGTTGACATTTGGCCCTCTTGTAAAAATGTGTTATTGCTGTTTTTTTTATATATATATATATATATATATATATATATATATATATATATATATATAGAGTAGTTATTCATTGTTTTGTTGTGGTTGTTTTGTGATGTTGTGGGGCTTGGCCTCTTGTAAGCCGTAAGTCCTGCGGGAGATGGTATAGTGGGGTATAAGAACAATAAATAAATAAAAATGTTATACACACAGACACCCCAACTGTTAGGAATTATTATTATTATTATTATTATTATTATTATTATTATTACGATTACTATTGTTGTTGTTGTTCATTCGTTCAGTCGTCTCCGACTCTTTGTGACCTCATGGACCAGCCCACGCCAGAGCTCCCTGTCGGCCGTCACCACCCCCAGCTCCTTCAAGGTCAGTCCAGTCCCTTCAAGGATGCCATCCATCCATCTTGCCCTTGGTCGGCCCCTCTTCCTTTTCTTCCACTTTCCCCAGCATCATTTATTTATTTATTTATTTATTTACTGCACTTGTAGACCGCCGTTCTCAGCCCTAGGGCGACTCACGGCGGTGTACAACATATAAAAAAAAACAACAATTTACAATAAGGCAATTACGCAAACAACAATAGCAACATCACTATTAATAATACAATTACACTAAATCATTCGCGACGTCTCATCAGAATCACAATCCAATCTCGTTTCCCATATTCCGTTCCAATCATCATTGCCAATTGTTGTAGCACTTAGTCAAACGCCTCCTCAAACAACCACGTCTTTAGTCTCTTGCGGAATGTCATAAGGGAGGGCGCCTGTCTGATGTCTACAGGGAGGGTGTTCCACAGCCGGGGGGCCACCACCGAGAAGGCCCTATCCCTCGTCCCCGCCAGGCGTGCCTGTGAGGCAGGCGGGATCGAGAGAAGGGCCTCCCCAGACGATCTCAAAGTCCTCGTGGGCTCATAGGCCGAGATGCGGTCAGACAGGTATTTTGGGCCGGAACCGTTTAGGGCTTTGTAGGCCAACACCAGCACCTTGAATTGGGCCCGGTAGCAGATCGGCAGCCAATGGAGCTGGAACAACAAGGGGGTTGTGTGCTCCCTGCGTCCCGCTCCTGTTAGTAACATGGCTGCCGCGCGCTGGACTAGCTGAAGCTTCCGGGCCGTCTTCAAGGGCAGCCCCACGTAGAGAGCGTTGCAGTAGTCAAGGCGGGATGTGACCAGAGCGTGTACTACCGTGGCCAAGTCAGACTTCCCGAAGTACGGGCGCAGCTGGCGCACGAGCCTAAGCTGTGCAAATGCTCCCCTGGTCACCGCTGAAACCTGGGGATCCAGGCTCAACGATGAATCCAGGATCACACCCAAGCTGCGAACCTGCCTTCAAGGGGAGTGCGACCCCATCCAGCACAGGCTGTAACCCTATGCCCTGTTCGGCCTTGCGACTGACCAGGAGTACCTCTGTCTTGTCTGGATTCAATTTCAATTTGTTTGCCCTCATCCAGACCGTTACAGCGGCCAGGCACCGGTTCAGGATAATTGGCTTCTCTAGGCTTTCCTGTCTCCTCATGATGTGGCCAAAGTACTTCAACTTTGTCTCTAGTCTCCTTCCCTCCAATGAGCAGTCGGGCTTTATTTCCTGGAGGATGGACTGGTTGGATCTTCTCGCAGTCCAAGGCACTCTCAGCACTTTCCTCCAACACCACAGCTCAAAAGCATCTCTCTTCCTTCGCTCAGCCTTCCCTAAGGTCCAGCTCTCACATCCGTAGGTTACTACAGGGAATACCATGGCTTTGACTAGGCAATGGATCTTGGTTGCCAGTCTGATGTCTCTACTCTTTACTATTTATCGAGACTGGACATTGCTCTCCTCCCAAGAAGGAAGCGTCTCCTGATGTCCTGGCCACAGTCTGCATCTGCACTCATCTTCCCACCTAGAAATACAAACCCTGTCACGGCCTCCACGATTTCTCCCTCTATTTCCCAGTTGTCAATCATTCTTGTTGCCATAATCTTGGTTTTTTTGACGTTTAGCTGCAACCCGGCTTTTGCGCTTTCTTCTTTCACCTTGATTAGAAGGCTCCTCGGTTCTTCCTCATCAAAGTGGTGTCATCTGCATATCTGAGGTTGTTAATGTTTCTTCCAGCCATTTCCACCCCAGCCTTGCATTCCTCCAGCCCCGCACATCCTCGCATGATGTGTTCTGCATACAAGTTGAATAGGTTGGGTGAGAGGATGCAGCCTTGCCGGACGCCTTTCCCAATCTTGAACCCGTCTCCTGTTCCGTGGTCAGTTCTGACTGTTGCTCCTTGGTCCTTGTCCAGATTCCTCAGGAGAGAGACACTTACTTACTTAGGCCGCGGCCACTCCTGGGAGTGCACGACTCCAGTTTTTGTGCCCACGGGTTCACTGGAACATGCAAGCCCCCTCACCACGACAAGGTGACAGTCCATTGAGGGGGAGGAGAGAGACAAGGTGGCTTGGGATGCCCATCCCACCAAGAACTTGCCACCGTTTATGATGATCCACGCAGTCAAAGGCTTTAGAAGAGTCAATGAAGCAGAAGTAGATGTTTTTCTGAAACTCCCCGCCTTTCTCCATTCTCCAGCATCCGGATGTTGGCAATGTGGTCTCTCATCCCGCTGCCTTTTCTGAACCCAGCTTGAACATCTGGCCACTCTCGCTCCATGTCTGGCTGGAGTCTTCTTCCTTGCAGGATCTTGAGCATTCCCTTCCTGGCATGAGGCCACCTACAGCCACCTACGAACCCACAAGAATATTGGAAGACCGTCTTACTCGTCCAAGGAGGGATCGCCTAAGTAAGTATATTAAGTATGTTATGATTCCTCTCTGGAGAGAGACTGGTTTGTGCAGCAGTCCTTCTCCCAGCTCTGCCTTGCAAGGAAAGGCCTCCCCATTGGGGCAGGTGGGAGGGCGGGGACTACCTGCGGAAGCCCCGCCCTTTACCTGGCCCAGGTGTGCGGGGGTGGGGCCCCTCCCTCCCTCCTTTCTGCTGCTGCTTCTCTTTGGGAGAGGGCGACCCTGGGCTCCTTCTGCCTGCCTTTGGGGCTCCAGGATGGGCAGCAGCCCCGTGGAGCGTCGCAGAGCCGGCTTGCGGGCGCTGCTCTGGGCCGGGGGAGGCAGCCCTGCCCGGCCGGGAGAAGAGGAGCAGGAGGATGAGGAGGCTGGGGGCGAGGCCGGCCTGGAGGCGCTGCTGGACCTCCTGCTCTGCGTCTTCCAGGAGTGCAGCGGCGCCCCCTTGCGGAGGGAGAAGAACGTGCAGCACTTCCTCCAATGGGGTGAGACTCCAGGGCCCAGCATCCCGGGTGCATCTGGGGAATGATGGGAGTTGCAGTTGCCATCAGGCCTGCCTCTAAGAGGAAGGGAAGCAGCCGGAGGGTCTCTCAAGGCTGCTGGGAGTTGGAGTCTGGGCTGTGAGGGGATGATGGGAGTTGGAGTTGGCATAGCACTTGCTTCTAAGAGGAAGGGAAGGATCTTGAGGGTCTCTCAAGGCTGCTGGGAGTTGCAGTTGCCATCAGGCCTGCCTCTAAGAGGAAGGGAAGCAGCCGGAGGGTCTCTCAAGGRTGCTGGGAGTTGGAGTCTGTGCTGTGAGGGGATGATGGGAGTTGGAGTTGGGATAATACTGGCTTCCCAGAGGAAGGGAAGGATCTTGAGGGTCTCTCAAGGTTGCTGGGAGTTGGTGTCTGGGCTGTGAGGGGATGATGGGAGTTGGAGTTGGGATAATACTGGCTTCTCAGAGGAAGGGAAGGATCTTGAGGGTCTCACAAGGTTGCTGGGAGTTGGAGTCTGTGCAGTGAGGGGATGATGGGAGTTGAAGTTGACATGCTGCTTGCTTCGAAGAGGAAGGGAAGGATCTTGAGGGTCTCTAAAGAGGATGATGGGAGTTGATGGGCGTTGGAGTCTGTGTTCTGATGGTATGATGGGAGTTGCAGTTGGCATAATACTTCCATCTAAGAAGAAGGAAAGCACCCCAAAGGTCCCTAAAGAGGATGATCAGAGTTGTAGTTGGGATAATACTTGTTTCCAAGAGGAAGGGATCTTGAGGGTCTCTAAAGGTTGCTGGGAGTTGGAGTCTGCGCAGTGAGGGGATGATGGGAGTTGTAGTTGGCATAATACTTCCATCTAAGAGGAAGGGAAGGATCTTGAGGATCTCTCAAGGTTGCTGGGAGTTGGTGTCTGTGCTGTGAGGGGATGATGGGAGTTGTAGTTGGCGTAATGTTGCTTCTAAGAGGAAAGGAAGCATCCCGAGGTTCTCTCAAGGTTGCTGGGAGTTGGAGTCTGTGCTGTGAGGGGATGATGGGAGTTGTAGTTAGCATAATGCTTGCTTCTAAGAGGAATTGAAGGATGTTGAGGGTCTCTAAAGAGGATGATGGGAGATGCAGTTGGCATAATACTTGCTTCTAAAAGGAAAGGAAAGCCTGAGGGTCTCTAAAGGGGATGATGGGAGTTGATGGGAGTTGGAGTCTGTGCTCTGATGGGATGATGGGAGTTGTAGTTGGCATAATGAATGCTTCTAAGAGGAAGGGAAGCATCCTGAGGGTCCCTAAAGAGGATGATGGGAGATGCAGTTGGCATAATACTTGCTTCTAAGAGGAAGGGAAGCATCCTGAGGGTCTCTCAAGGTTGCTGGGAGTTGGAGTCTGTGCTGTGAGAGGATCATGGAAGTTGTAGTTGGCATAATACTTCCATCTAAGAGGAAGGAAACCACGCCGAAGGTCCTTAAAGGGGATGATGGGAATTGTAATTGGCATAATACTTGCTTCAAAGAGGAAGGGAAGCCTCCTGAGGGACCCTAAAGGGGATTATGTGAGTTTTAGTTGGCATAATGCTTCCTTCTAAGAGGAAGGAAAGCATCCTGAGGGTCTCTAAAGGTTGCTGGGAGTTGGAGTGTGTGTTGTGAGGGGATGATGGGAGTTGTCTGTGTAATATTTGCTTCTAAGAGGAAGGGAAGCATCCTGAAGGTCTCGAAAGGTTGCTGGGAGTTGGAGTCTGTGCTGTGAGGGGATGATGGGAATTGTAGTTGGCATAATACTTCCATCTAAGAGGAAGGGAAGGATCTTGAGAGTCTCTCAAAGTTGCTGGGAGTTGGAGTCTGTGCTGTGAGAGAATGATGGGAGTTATAGTTGGCATGCTTCTTGCTTCAAAGAGGAAGGAAAGCCTTCTGAGGGTCCCTAAAGTGGATGATGAGAGTTTTAGTTGGCATAATACTTGCTTCTAAGAGGATAGGAATCATCCTGAGGGTCCATGAAGGGGATGATGGGAGTTATAATTGGCATAATACTTGCTTCAAAGAGGAAGGGAAGCTTCCTGAGGGTCCCTAAAGGGGATTATGGGAGTTTTAGTTGGCAAAATGCTTCCTTCTAAGAGGAAGGAAAACATCCTGAGGGTCTCTAAAGGTTGCTGGGAGTTGGAGTGTGTACTGTGAGGGGATGATGGGAGTTGCAGTTGGCCTAATACTTCCTTCTAAGGGGATAATGGGAGTTGAAATTTCCTGTGCTGGTCTGGGAGAGGAGCTGATGGGAGTTCCTTCCAAGTGATGAGTGGTGATGGAACGGGTCCTGCTGCTCTTTTTGGAGGGATGATGGGAGTTGTAGTTGAAGAATGCACCCCAATGGACTGGGGATTTTTTTGGGGGGAGGGGGAATTTTGTCTTCCTTCCAGACACTTGGTGGACTCTTAAGTCCCAACATAATTTGGGCTTATTATGTGGTGGATGATGGGAGTTATAGTTGCACAGATCAGTTGCAGAGTACGCACGTTGCTTCCAAGTGAGTGAAAATAAAGGAGAGTGCAAACTGCTGTGAGAGAAAAATGGGATATAAACAAACAACAACAACAACAACAATAATGGGTCTTAGCTACTAAGCCACACTCTCTCAGCCTCTAATCTGTCATAGAACTCCTGTAAACAATGGAATCGATGTAGGACAATGCTAGGGGACCCTGGGAGTTGTAGTTTTGGGGAGGCAGCCGTACGAAAGCCGGAAGGCCTTGTCAAACTTGCAGAGCATCTTCCCTTTTTCTGCCTGGGAATCTCACCCGTGGCAGACTGAAACCGGCCTCTTTGCTGGCTCAGCAGGCCCGGCAAATTGGCTCGCAGCAAATGCATCCAGACGCAAAAAAATGCGTGGGGTTGCCAAGTGGAGCAAAGCGCGGCCCTAAATCAGAGCATCCTTGTCCGGATATTGGATTTGTAGTTCTGTCCCTGTTTGGCCTGGCTAAGAACCTCGAAGAATGATAAAATAAAATAAAATAATAAAACTGGGGGTGCAGCGGAATGTGGAAAAAGCTTCAGTTGGAGGGGACATCTGCGTTACCATCAAAGGACCCGCACAGGGGAGAAGCCATAGAGATGCATACAATGTGGAGAAAGTTTCCCATTTGCAAGTATTAATGACAATTCAGCAAGCAGGAGTCCCTGGTGGTGTTAGAGACCCTAGATTGGGTCTTTTTTAGGTCCACGTCGCGGGAGCACGGAAGGATTGAGACCAGTGGTTCTCAACCCTCCTAATGCCGCGACCCCTTAATACAGTCCCTCATGTTGTGGTGACCCCCAACCATAACATTATTTTTGTTGCTCCTTCATAACTGTCATTTTACTACCCTTATAAATCGTAATGTAAATGTCCGATATGCAGGATGTAATTCCATTCACTGGAACAAATTTGGCACAGATGCCCAATACACCCAAAGGCGAATATTGGTGGGGTTGGGGGAGGATTGATTTTGTCATTTGGGAGTTGTAGTTGCTGGGATTTATAGTTCACCTAAAATCAAAGACTATTCTGAACTCTACCAGCGATGGATTTGAACTGAACTTGGCACACAGAACTCCCATGACCAACGGAAAAAGCTGGGAGGGTTTGGTGGGCATTGACCTTGAGTTTGGGAGTTGTAGTTCACCTATATCCAGAGAGCACTGTGGACTCACGCAATGATGATCTGAACCAAACTTGGCACGGAAACTCAATATGCCCAAATGTGAACACTCGTGGAGTCTGGGGAAAATAGACCTTGATATTTGGGAGTTGTAAAGGTAAAGGTTTTCCCCTGACATCGTGTCCAACTCTGGGGTGTGGTGCTCATCTCCATTTCTAAGCTAAAGAGCTGGCATTGTCCGTAGACACCTCCAGTGGCACTGCATGGAGTGCCATTGCCTTCCTGCCGGAGCGGTACCTATTGATCTACTCACATTTGCATTTTTTCGAACTGCTAGGTTGGCAGGAGCTCAGGCTGACAGTAGGAGCTCACACCGCTCCCCGGATTTGAAACTGCAACCTTTCGGTCAACAAGTACAGCAGCTCAGTGCTTTAACCCACTGCGCCACCGGGGGCTTGTAGTTGCTTGGATTTATAGTTCACCTACAATCAAAGAGCATTCTGAACCTCACCAACAATAGAATTGGGCCAGACTTCCCACACAGAATCCCCATGACCAACAGAAAATAATGTGTTTCTTGATGGTCTTTGGTGACCCCTCTGACACCCACTCGTGACCCCCTTAGGGGTCCCGACCCCCAGGTTGAGAAACACTGGATTGAGACAGTCCCAATGAAAGATCAAAAAACAAGGTTTTTATTTTAGTTTCTTCATGAAGAAGACGAACAGCCTGATAGCATTACGCAGATGCTATCCTTCAAGTGGCTGCCGTGTTCCTTCCTTGAAATCTGCAAACTTTTATAGCCCATTACAAACAGAAAGCTCAGGGAAAACACCTTTTATGAATAATAATTCTGACCTATTTGATGGAAAAGTACCTTCCTTGTACACGTGGCCTTTACGCTTCAAAAACAACATTTGATGTTAACCACAAACATCCTGTGTAAGAAGTACCTTCTAAGTGTCCCATCTTGTTTCTTAAAAAACACTTTCTTCCATATTGCTCTTTTTAAGTCAGAGAAAGGGTATCTCTCTCTTTTGCTGATTTTGTTTGCTTTTGTTTGCCTCCTTCAGTGGCACAATGGATTAAACCGCTGAGCTGCTGAACTTGCTGAACTGAAGGTTTGCAGGTTCGAATCCGGGGGGGGGGGGGGGTGAGCTCCCGCCGTTAGCCCCAGCTTCTGCCAACCTAGCAGTTTGAAAAACGTGCAAATGTGAGGAGATCGATAGGGAAGGTAACGGCGCTCCATGCAGTCATGCAGGCCACATGACCTTGGAGGTGTCTGTGGACAACGCCGGCTCTTGGGCTTAGAAGTGGAGATGAGCACCAACCCCAGAGTCGGACACAACTGGACTTAACGTCAAGGGGCAGGTATGGGTAAACCCTGGCCCAGGGGACG